CTTGCCTGACTACTCTATTGTCTTTTCTACCAGCTACACGCCATTGGCGGCGGCCATTACCGCAACTGAGGTGTCTCGGGGGCCGCGACCTGGTTCCTGGCTGCGTCAAGTCCATCCCCACCATCAGGGGCCCTGGTGAAGGGCAGCCTGGGACTTAGACTCCACGCCCTGAGGGACTTTGGTCTGTGGGTGGTGGTTGTCGTCAGCCAGTGCGTTACATTGTTTAGGCCTGCCTGTCCGTTCCTCAGCTCCAGCCCTGACAGTAGCCTTGTGTCTATTTGCTGATACTAATTCACAGCCAAGTTGAAGGTATCTATACTCATGTTCTTAAAACTGGTTGCAGTAACTTTCACTCAACCCGGTGTGTTGGAGGGGTTGAGGTTGTTCTTGGAGTCGAGGTGCAAAACAGAGAACCCAAATTACCCAGCGGCTTTTTCGGGTTAAAGATATATTTTTCACCACAAAAAATTTAAGTAGTAACTTGCACCATTATAAACTTTCAGAATTCAATATGTAACATAAAATATTCTTTGCTTTTTTTGCTCATTTTCTGCCATTTTGATACCACACATTGGCATTTCCATTTCCCAAGCCAACGCTTTATTTTCAGCCTGATAGGAAGTAGAACTGAAAAGCCGACATTTTGCTATTCTTTGTAGACGGGTCCCCTTACCATACTCTAGATAAATTTGCTGATGTAACAGGAAAAAAACTGTCTAGATTTTATCTGTAACAATTTCATCTGTATACAGTCATTATAACGGCTGAGCCCCCCCAATGGCTTCATTTGTATATAACATGTCAAAAAGCAAAGTAGGAGCTTTCAATTAAACATTTCTTAGGCATGGGAATAACATTGTTTTGTTTGTTGAGGACTGATCAAACATTCATAGAGCCAAAGAGAAGGAACAGTTTTTGCTATAGTAGGATTTTGAAGATGCATCAAGCTGCATTGTGGGAATATACTGTAAGTACAATAGCTGTCACATTGTGGCTGCGGGATCAAAGGCACTCAAACCTCATCGTCTTTATTTTTCATGGTAAAATGCAAATATGAGACTGCAGAGGAGATTCTATCAACCTAAAGCAGAGTTCCAGTCAATTTTGTGTTTATTAAAAGTCAGCAGCTACAAAATTGTAGCTGCTGACTTTTAATAAACATGCACTCACCTGTCCCGGGGTCCAGCGATGTGCTCACCCCTGTGCTATCCCTTTTCTGCCTCTTATCTCCTCGGCACCGACATCACAACTGTGGGCACCAGGCTGTGATAGCTTGCGGCTTCACAGCCGGGTGCCCACTGTGCATGCACGAGTCGCGTTGCACATTCTAATTGGTCCGGCAGTCTTCTGGGACTTGTGAGCCCTGGGTTCACACTGATGTGGTGCAGAATTCACAGCGTTTTCTGTGCGAATTCCGTACCGCATCAGAATCACACCCCGTTCATGCGAACCGCTGCGGGTGTGTATGTATGTTAAGTTATATATATATACATGCCATGTTCGGTTACATATTGAAACCTCCAAGAAGATGGCCGCGTTCTTCGCGACTGCGCATGTGCGAACTGCGATGGGTGACGCGGTCGTGCACTAATGCGTGCCAATTTCAAATTTAGTATATATAGAACTCACACAGTATGGGCACACTCCCTCTGAGGAAGTGTCTTTACACGAAACGCGTCAGTGAGGTGCCCCTGACCTGTGTGCATATACCGCAAGGCCATCCTGATTGGTTGCCATATCAGATCCGGATGTAAGTTTTTTATTTATTTGTTTATGCTGGAATTTTGACCATTAAAGACCTACTACACTATCAGAAGCTTTCTTGGGGCTCATTATTTCCATGTGAGCCCCTTTTTGAAGGTTCCTGAGGATTTGGATAATATATGACTTCCCCTTCCTCCTGCTGATGATGGCCCTGGTGAATGGTTAACCTCTTGCCGCCCGCCTGTTGTTTATAAACGGCAGGGCGGTGGCAGTCCAGGGGCGCGTTGCCGTTCATAAACGGCACCCGCCTTTTCTAGCTGTGCGCGCTCCCTGGGAGCGATCCAGTGCCCGCTGTGTTCTCCGGACACAGTGAAACACTGATCGTCGGACGGGACCTCTGTACGAGGTCCCGATCATGTGATCACTGATTGGCGAATCAGTGATCACATGCAAAGTAGTAAGCAAGATGTCACTTGTGACATCATTGCTTACTACGTGTGAAATCTGTGAATGATCACAGAGGTCACATGGTACAAGGCTATTCACAACAGCCTTGTACCATGTGACAAGCTGTGACCAATCACAGCTCACTCAGTACTTCTCAATGACTTCAAGAATGCAGAGAGAGAGAAAGAGAAATGATTGCTTTTACATCCTATATGGGTGTAAAAGCAATCAGTGTAAAAAAAAAAAATCTTCATCACCCCCCACAAGTAGTACAGTGTCACCATGGTGACCCTGTACTGCTAGGGTGACAGTATGTAAAAAAAAATAAATAAAAATAAAAAATAATAATATAAAAAAAATAAAATAAAAATGTAAAAAAAAATGTCTAAAAATTATAATTTTTGGTTATAAACTAATTTGGATTTTTTTTTTTACTAAAAAAATAACGAAATAAATTTTGGCCAAGATTTATGATGAAATATTATTTATTTGCAAAATTTTATTTAAAAAAACACTTTTTTTCAAAATTTTTGGACTTTTTCATTTACATAGTAAAGAAAATAAAAATCCCAGCGGTGAATAAATACCACCAAAATAAAGCTTTATCTGTCCCAAAAAAATGGTAAAAAATTCATATGGGTACAGTGTTGCATGACCGCGCAATTGTCATTCAAAGTGTGATAGCGCTGAAAGCTGAAAATTGCCCTGGACAGGAAGGGGGGGAAAGTGTCTGGACAGGAAGTGGTTAAGAATACACCTAGACTGATGACATCTAGTGGCCGACTTGCTGATGACATCTGCCTGGTATCACAAGTCCAGAGCACCAGGAGCAGGTCTTAATTGCTCCATGCGCAATTAATGCGCTATCTGGTTAGTGCATTGTTTGTACATTCACAACAACACAAGAGTCACGTTTATCCTTAATCATGGACTTTTGGAACACCTGCACTTAATCACTTTACTATAAGGACTGAGTTATTTCATTTATTTAACATATTTAACATATGTAATTGTGTATTATTTATTTACTTGCTTCTTCACTTGATTATACTCATATTAGCGCTGCATACTTATTTTATATATTTTCATACTGGGTTTTAAAGGTTGCCTTTATGCTAGCGGCTTTATTTTGCTATTGTTCCCAGCGCTCAATTACTACCTTTCCAAAGTGTATGTTAAGTTGACAACACTCTGAAAGCGGTCCGCAAAACTTGTTGCGATGTGCAGAATTGGATCGCATAGGTGTGAATGCCCATGCGATCCGATTCTAGTGCAGTCCAAAAAAAGGGTCCTGCACTTTTTTGGTGCGGGTGCAGTGTGATTAGAGCCATACAAAATGTACGGCTCCAATCGCACACAAACAAATCACATGTGATTTGCACAGGAATGTGGTGCGGTTCCTGCGCAAAATCACATGCGATATGCCGCACCGCATATATGTGAACCCGGGCTGAAGGTTCCCAGGAGACTGCAGGAGGAAGGAGGGGGCTGAACTTCTGGCTTCTCTTCGTCAAAAACAGGTATCCAATCCCCCAAAAGGTGCCAATTGTGGCAGTGGAGGAGGGGAGAGGAGGCAAACAGGCGGAGCTTCTACTTTTGAGTGGAACTCCACTTTAATGAAGTGCAAAACAGAAGCAGTTTAGATGGGGTGAGATGGGATTTTCATCAATCCTTCCCTGCCCTCATCCATATTGTGGATACATAAGTATTCCTGTAATGTCACCTATGATGTCAGAAGGATTCCCTGTGAGATGCAGTGGCCATGTTCAGCATGGCCGTTGTTGATGATAACAATCAACATGAGTATTGTATTGACAAATGTAGAGTGTACCAGAGTGACTGCATACAACAATGTCTCCACCCAGAAACCAACCTTCCTTGATGCGTTTCACAGTTCCTGGGTTGCTCACTCGTGAGCATGCCAGGAGTGGCGAAACGCGTCAAGTTGGATTCTGTCAGGGCTCCCGGGTATGACCAGAGGTGTGTGACTGACGCAGGGAAACGCAGACTTCAGATATGTTATAAACAATGTAATTTATTAACACTAACAATACAAAACATAAACGCAGTGCAATACTAAAACATAACACAGTGCAAACAAACCAAACCAACCACCCACAGATAACAGTACATACAATGCAAGCGTCGTCAGGCAGGCCGGGTCAATATCAGTCGGGCAGGTAGGTACAGGGGGAGCAAGCGGAGAATGGTCGGGGTCACAGGCCAGGTTCAGCAGGGGTCTGCAGGTCTGAATGTCCCTTAAATACACCAGTATAATTAGTTCCAGGTGTTTGACTGGCTGCAAGGTTGAGTCTCTGATTGCTGGGAGCACCCGCTGGCCAGCCCTGGTACTGCAGCTCATAAGGCAGCTGAGTCCCACTATTGCTGGCCAGTCCATTCCTGACAGTTACCCCCCTCAAGGAGCGGCCTCAGGACGCTCCAAACAGTCTAGCTGGGCAAAATGTTCCACCGCCGGGTCTGGTAACTGGCGGGATATCAAAGACTGGCACACCGGGCAGGACTCCGGGCAGCGGCACACCGGGCAGAGGCACATCGGGCAGGACTCCGGGCAGAGGCACATCGGGCAGGACTCCGGGCAGAGGCACATCGGGCTGGACTCCGGGCAGAGGCACATCGGGCTGGACTCCGGGCAGAGGCACATCGGGCTGGATTCCGGGCAGAGGCACATCGGGCTGGACTCCGGGCAGAGGCACATCGGGCTGGACTCCGGGCAGAGGCACATCGGGCTGGACTCCGGGCAGAGGCACTCCGGGCAGCGGCACACCGGGCAGAGGCACATCGGGCGGACTCCGGGCAGAGGCACATCGGGCGGACTCCGGGCAGAGGCACATCGGGCCGGACTCCGGGCAGAAGGCACCGGGCCCCCAGGCGGAGCGGCGGGGCGCCGGACCCCCAGGCGGAGCGACAGGTCTCAGGCCCTCAGGCGGAGCGGCGGGCGCCGGACCCCAGATGGAGCGACAGGTCTCAGACCCTCAGGCAGAGCGGCGGGCGCCGGACCCCAGGTGGAGCGACAGGTCTCGGGCCCTCAGGCGGAGCGGCGGGCGCCGGACCCCCAGGTGGAGCGACAGGTCTCGGGCCCTCAGGCGGAGCGACAGGTCTCAGGCCCCCAGGCGGGGCGGCGGGCGCCGGACCCCCAGGCGGAGCGACAGGTCTCGGGCCCCCAGGCGAAGCGGGGGGCACCGAGTCACAGGCACGACAGTGGGCTCCGAGTCAACTGGCATGACCGCTGGCACTGGGTCAGACATTGGATCGTCTGGCTGGACAGCGGGCATCGGGTCACCAGGCATCAGGTCATTTGGCTCGACAGCGGCACCGCGTCATCTGGCAAGGCAGTGGGCTCCGAGTCAACTGGCATGACCGCGGGCACTGGGGCAGACATTGAATTCGTCTGGCTGGACAGCGGGCATCGGGTCACCAGGCATCAGGTCATTTGGCTCGACAGCGGGCACCGCGTCATTGGCAAGGCAGTGGGCTCCGAGTCAACAGGCACAACAGTGGGCACTGGGTCATCAGGTACCGGATTGTCTGGCTCGACAGCGGGCATCGGGTCACCAGGTATGACAGCGGGCACTGGGTCACCAGGCATCAGGTCATTTGGCTTGCCAGCGGGCACCACGTCATCTGGCAAGGCAATGGGCACGGGTCACCAGGCATTGGATCGTCTGGCTCGACAGCGGGCATCGGATCACCAGGTATGACAGCGGGCACTGGGTCACCAGGCATCAGGTCATTTGGCTCGCCAACGGGCACCGCGTCATCTGGCAAGGCAGTGGGCACCGAGTCACCAGGTACGACAGCGGGCTCTGAGTCAATTGGCACGACAGCGGGCACCGGATCAGGTACCGGATCATCTGGATCAACAGCGGGCATCGAGTCAACTGGCCTAATAGGATCGTCAGGCTGGATCAGTTCATCATGCTGGGTAGAGGCTTCAGGCTGAATGCCGGCGTCCGGCTGAGTAGAGGCTTCAGGCTGAAGAGAAGCATCAGGCTGCGTACAGGCATCAGGCTGGGTACAGGCATCAGGCCGAGTAGAGGATTCAGGCTGAGTAGAGGCATCAGGCTGAGTAGAGGCATCAGGCTGAGTAGAGGCATCAGGTGAGTAGAGGCATCAGGCCGAGTAGAGGATTCAGGCCGAGTAGAGGCATCAGGCTGAGTAGAGGCATCAGGCTGAGTAGAGGATTCAGGCTGAGTAGAGGCTTCAGGCTGAACCACGGAAGGCAGGTTCACCGGTTTGGATACTGGCAGGATGGTACTGGTTGGAAAGAATTTTCGTTTTTTTTCTGGTTTTAAACTACTGGGGCACTGCAAGTAAACGCAGGTCTGCAAACGAATGGAGCAGCTGGAGACAGAGAAGAGCTGGAGGATGGAACAGAGTAGGGAGCAGTTGCTACAGAGGGCTTTTTTACAGGGTTAAAGGCAGGATAGGTGCAGCGAGTGGGAACAGGGTACTGACATGCGGTAGATAGCAGGGCAGGAGGAGCTGTTGGGAATGCAGGAATAGAGTTTGAGGAAATAGATTAGAAGCAGGACTGCGTCTTTGTAAGCTGACTGAGGCTGGGTGCAACAAGTCTGTCCATGTCTGCAGTATGGGTTGAACAAAGCTGAGCTTACACAAAGCCTGTCTGACCAAAGACTGCACTGCGTTTATACAATCGCTTAGTGTCTGTGGTGAACATGCAGCATAATGCTCCAAGAAGCATCCACATCATCCTCTAATAACACACCAGGGACTCTACCTGGTCTGCACTAAATGGTGGCAAAAATTCATCCCTGCATTTCGGGGGTACCAGATGAAACCAACTCCGCACAAACCTCAATCAAAGGCTGCACCTCAGAGAATTCTGTGCCCTGATCTACTAGAACATGAGCGAGCCGTATACATTCTAGCAGTTCATCCGGGGATACTCCTTCAGAGTCTGATAAGCATACTCCCTGTCATCAAACACTAGCAGATATAAATACACAACCTCATCCAGATCCATCCTTCCCATCAACAAGCCAAGATGGCTTCCCTGTGCAGCCACTTCTGGTCAGGATTGGCCTTGGTGTAATGTCAGGCTCCCGAGTATGACCAGAGGTATGTGACTGACGCAGGGAAACGCAGGCTTCAGATATGTTATAAACAATGTAATTTATTAACACTAACAATACAAACATAAATGCAGTGCAATACTAAAACATAACACAGTGCAAACAAACCAACCAACCACCCACAGATAACAGTACATACAATGCAAGCGTCGTCAGGCAGGGCCGGGTCAATATCAGTCGGGCAGGTAGGTGCAGGGGGAGCAAGCGGAGAATGGTCGGGGTCACAGGCCAGGTTCAGCAGGTAGCGGGCAGCGTGGTACAGAGGGTCAGGCAGAGGAGAATGGTCAGACAAGCCAGGGATCAGAGCAGGGTCAGCAGAGAATCAGACAGGAACAGGGAGCAGGGAGCAGGGACAGGATACAGGGCCCAGGAGAGAAACACAACACCAAGGCAGAGTCTGCAGGTCTGAATGTCCCTTAAATACACCAGTATAATTAGTTCCAGGTGTTTGACTGGCTGCAAGGTTGAGTCTCTGATTGCTGGGAGCACCCGCTGGCCAGCGCTGGTACTGCAGCTCATAAGGCAGCTGAGTCCCACTATTGCTGGCCAGTCCATTCCTGACAGATTCTGAGTGGAGACATTGTTATATGCAGTCACTCTGGTAATAACTAATATGACAAGAAGAGCTAAGAGTGGAGTGTAACGGATCCCAGACACCCACGACTGGGTATCTCATCAAGAAGCTGCTTCTCAGGCTCTGAAACACGAGACCAGTGAATCTAGCTATTGTTACCCCAAGATCCAGACGACACCAGTCTTGAAGTAAACCAGAGGTAGGCTACTTTATTTGAACACAGATACAAGATATATACACTCGGGACAATCCCCCCTCCCTGCATAATGACAAACCGCGGGACAATCTACATTTAGTAACAAGAGACACACAGGTATTCAAACTTCACACCAGCAGACAGTCCCATCAGGAGGGAGGGCAGCTGGAGACACCACCCACTAAGCTAATACACATAAACACATATATCCCATAATAGTTTGCTGCCAACCCAGACAGACATTAGAACAATAGGATGCAACCACATAACATTAAACAATCAACAACCCCCACCCCCCACCTATCTCCTAAACATGTCTCCACAGTCTGAGACAAAGCCCACACAATATTAGGACAGATCACCTGTACCCCTAACAGGCACAGGGTGACTTACACATAAGAGGGATATGGGGAGCTGAGACAGGGGTCTCCCCACCTCTCCAAAGTGAGCTGGGTTCCATGGGCCCCCACCTAAAGTGACTTCCGTCATATGGAGTGCGCATTTTTTCATACTTTCGAGATGGGGATGGACTACAGTGCCCAGCACTATCCATGTACATGAGGGGCAAGTCTTGAGTAGAGCTGTGGATTTGGGTATGTTTTTGTCATGAGTATTGTATTGCTGAGGAGGTGCATGGGGGAAGCTGAATCAGGTTTTTTCTAATCAGATTAGCTTCATCCCTGAAAAAAAAAATATTAATATGAATATAATAATAATGTAAAAACCTTCCCGCTTTAAATTATTCCAACCTTTTTTTCTTTAAATAATAAACACATTATACTTAGATGCTCTGTGCAATGGTTTTGCACAGAGCAGCCGGATCCTCCTCTTCTAGGGTCGTCCCGCTCCCCTTCCCCAAGCGCTCCTGGCTCCTTCTCTTTGGCGAATGCCCTATAGCAAGTCGCTTACTCATGTGGGCTCGATCCCAAGCTGTGATGCCTGCGCCCATAGACACAGACAGCTTAGCCCCCCCCCCGCTCTCTCATCACAGGATCTGATTGACAGCCAATAGCTCCCTCTGCTGCCTCTCTGTCCTGTGAAGAAGGAGAGAGCAGAGAGAGCCACTACCCTTGGGTACAGAGCTGGATTAAACTCAGGCTCAGACAAGTATATGGGGGGGGGGTCCTGTTCACAGAATGTTTTTTACCTTAATACATAGAATGCATTAAGTTAACAAACCATAAGCCTTTAGAGCCTTTTCAAATCTATTTATAGAATAATGGTTGAAGCCCATTTACAGATCTGGTTACTCCAGGGGCCAGAACCATTCACACTTAGTTACATAGTTAGATACATAGTTAGTCTGGCTGAAAAAAGACAAAAGTCCATCAGTTCAACTATTAAAAAAAAAAAAGTTATAATCCTATACCCCACAGTCAGGGGCGGACTGACAACTCATGGGGCCCTCGGGCAATAGGGATCATGGGGCCCCTGTGTCCTTGCCCAAACTCAAAAGAGCCTATGAAAAAGGTACCAGGGGCATCTCATGGGGGCCCCCTACTGACCCCGGGCCCTCGGGCAGTGCCCGAGTTTCCAAATGGTCAGTCCGCCCCTGCCCACAGTTGATCCAGAGGAACGCAAAAAAAAAAAACCAGCAAAGCATGATCCAATTTGCTCCTGCAGGGAAAAACATTCCTTCCTGATCCCCCGAGAGGCAATCGGATATTCCCTGGATCAACTTTACCTATAAATGTATAGTTACATAGTTAGTCTATGCTACAAACAACATGGAAATGCAATTATTTTAGTAAATATAAACTGCTAAATACCTTTCCTCTCATCAGCAGTAAATAGCAGTCTTGTGACTTTTATGTGTCCGGTCGAGCACTGATTAAAGCTTGTAGGAGAAGTTTTCATTCTCCTTTGATTGTGCTATGAGGCTGCATAACCCCTGACCCCTCTGAACAGCACTGATTGACCCTGTGCTGATCACATGTTCTCTCCCAAGAAAGAAAAAAACTCTCTAGCAATACACAGCAAAATGAACATGTGCAGAGTGCCCCCAAGGCTTGTTCTATCAACAGATGGATTGGGGACAGTAGAAGAAAAGGAGGATCAGAGAAGACAGTTTTCTTTCTGCTCTGACTGTTCTATGACACTGCATGACCCCTGACCCTCTGTCTGGACAGTGCTGATTGGCCCTGTGCTGATCACATGCACTCTTCCAAAGAAAAAAAAACTCTCTAGCAATACAAACTAAACTGAGCATGTGCAGAGTAACTCCTAGAGCTCTGTAATATCAGCAGATGGATTGGGACAGTAGAAGAAGGGGAGGATCAGAGAAGACAGATCAAACATCCTTTTTTACACAATGCAGAGAATTAACCCCTTAGGTTCCACAGTGAGTATAACAAGCATGCTTTACTACATCTACAGACTGATTGTACTGTTGTGGGTTTTGGAACACTTTAAATGAGTTTTTGAATTTAAAAAATCCAAAATACATGGCCTAGAAATGAGTGTGTTATAAGATATTTATGTTTATTTGAAGTTCTGACACTGTTGTGTGGGGAATAGGATAAAACATCTGGGCTTGTTGGAGCAGCTGCTGCTCTGCTGGATCTTTTCTTCTCTTCCTGAAGGAACCGGCTGGCACAGCGGCTGCATCCTGCGCCCCGCGCGTGTTTTTCCAAAACTTCCAGCAATTTCCTGGGCACAGATGCCTTCTCAGGGTCCCCCTCTGACAGTTTATTAACAAGTCCTCCTGGTGTTTTGTCAAAAGCCACATGGTATATATTTGTTTTACCATTTTAATTTATTAGGCGCTAGACCGCATTTGCTTTTTTGGAATTTATCATTTATTTATGAATTGTAATTGTGTCTTGCTGGTAGAAATAACTAAACTGTTGAAATTTCCTTCTGCATTCTGCAGCTGTCCAATCTTCGTATTTTATTGCCGTATGTCAAAACACCATTAAATAACAATCCAATACCCAAAACGTTGTTAAAATACCTAGAAAATGCTTGTGTAGTTTTATAAAAATAGATTGTATAGCGAGCGCCCACTGTAATGAAAATTCGATGTAAGCTGCTAGAACACCAAAAAGGTAACCAACATAACCTTCCAAGACAATATATATAGAGAAAAGGGCGCAGCGCTAATAATGCCAATAGAACTATATCAACATGAATTGAAAAAAAGTGTGCAATTGATAATCTTATTAGATCATAATTATAGGTTCAGTTTATTGTCCCAAAACCACACAAGAAGTGTGATATACAGATTGTGTCGTATCTCATTTTCAAACCACGATGAGTGATCCACAGGTGAACAAGAAATAAGTGAAATACGTACTCACCAGAAGTGCGTTTAAGGTACGCATGAAAGCAAATTCCTCTCTCATCAGGTACATCTGGGTCCTTGGATCACAGGTCAGGCTGCGCTCTCGCTAAACGTCCAACATGGCCAAATTCCCTGGTTCCTCAGACACTTAAGCAGCTTTAGGGTCCCTCCTTAAGTTTGGTACTGAAAAGGTGGCGCTCATAAAGAGCCCAATAAAGGACATCACATAGAGTGATACTGCATAAAAGACTTTATTTTGAAGTAAAAGTCAAAAAATCAAAAACAAAAGTACTGACCGCAATATATGTGCTGGCCACCCACGGTGGCTTAGATGTCCAAGTGCTGTAGCCCCCCTTGACGCGTTTCGTGCTATGCACGTTCTCAAAAGGGTCCAGGGCTTACAGCAAGGACGTCATTGCCCTCCTATTTATATTTTGAAATGGCAATCGCGCTTAGTTTTTATAGCTTTGATTTTCATGTCTTTTTTCTTCCTGTTATCTAAGAAATGTCTCAAATAACAACAAAATACACCAAAAATAAGTAAAAAAAAAAAAACACTTAGAACACAAAGAACATTCAGAGACCATTTAAAGTGCATTTAAGCTTTAACAAAAAAAAAATGCTACTTTAATTTCACTTCCTCACTGACTTCAATTCATTTCACCGAAGTGGTAAAAATTTCTAGTGCAGAAAAATCAGCCAGTTTTGCCCATGCCTAGTTCATTTCTGTACCATACATACCATCTTGCATCCAAAGAGGCTGGGAGATTACGTAAATGAATACAAATGCGCCATTTAAATGACAGATATCTAAATTTTGGGGTGGGATTCCTGAAGTGTCCGTATGTCAACCAGTTGGCATTGCTTAGGTTAGGTTGCCATATAAATATACATACACACATACTTTTTTTCCCAAGGGTCTTCTGGCCAGTCTAATGACATCATGGGTCCTATCAGTCTTTACTATTGCACTCACATAGTGATGATGAGGACCCGTGCAGTGCAGTAATTCTCTGAGTCCAAGCTGCCTGATGAGATATCATTTTGCTGCAGTACAAATCATTAGTATGACCTCATCTGGAATATGCAGTTCAGTTTTGGGCACCGATTTACAAAAGAACATTGGGGAACTGGAGAAAGTACAGAGAAGGGCAACCAAACTGATAAGAGGCATGGAGGAGATCAGCTATGAGGAAAGATTAGAGGGAACTGAATTTGTTCTCTCTTGAGAAGAGGAGATTAAGGGGGGGGTATGATCTCCATGTATAATACATAAGGGGGGATATGATCACCATGTATAATACATAAGGGGGGATATGATCTCCATGTATAATACATAAGGGGGATATGATCTCCATGTATAATACATAAGGGGGGATATGATCTCCATGTATAATACATAAGGGGGATATGATCATCATGTATAATACATAAGGGGGGATATGATCTCCATGTATAATACATAAGGGGGGATATGATCTCCATGTATAATACATAAGGGGGGATATGATCACCATGTATAATACATAAGGGGGATATGATCTCCATGTATAATACATAAGGGGGGGGGGATATGATCACCATGTATAATACATAAGGGGGGGGATATGATCTCCATGTATAATACATAAGGGGGGATATGATCACCATGTATAATACATAGGGGGGGATATGAGCTCCATGTATAATACATAAGGGGGGATATGAGCTCCATGTATAATACATAACGGGGGGGGATATGAGCTCCATGTATAATACATAAGGGGGGGATATGATCTCCATGTATAATACATAAGGGGGATATGATCTCCATGTATAATACATAAGGGGGATATGATCTCCATGTATAATACATAAGGGGGGATATGATCTCCATGTATAATACATAAGGGGGGATATGATCTCCATGTATAATACATAAGGGGGGATATGATCTCCATGTGTAATACATAAGGGGGGATATGATCACCATGTGTAATACATAAGGGGGGATATGATCTCCATGTGTAATACATAAGGGGGATATGATCTCCATGTGTAATACATAAGGGGGGATATGATCTCCATGTGTAATACATAAGGGGGGGATATGATCTCCATGTATAATACATAAGGGGGAATATGATCTCCATGTATAATACATAAGGGGGATATGATCTCCATGTATAATACATAAGGGGGATATGATCACCATGTATAATCCATAAGGGGGATATGATCACCATGTATAATACATAAGGGGGATATGATCACCATGTATAATCCATAAGGGGGGATATGATCACCATGTATAATCCATAAGGGGGGATATGATCTCCATGTATAATACATAAGGGGATATGATCACCATGTATAATACATAAGGGGGGATATGATCTCCATGTATAATACATAAGGGGGGATATGATCTCCATGTATAATACATAAGGGGGGATATGATCTCCATGTATAAATACATCAGTGGTTCATATAGTGAACTGGGTGCGGAGCTATTCACCCTGAGGTCATCACAGAGGACAAGGAGGCGCTCTTTACGTTTGGAGGAAAAGAAATGTAATCTTTTAACATGGAAGGTTTCTTCACAGTGGAGCTGTGAAAATGTGGAATAGACTCCCTCACAAGAAGTTGGTTCTGCCCAGCTCAGTGGATTGCTGTAAAATAAGTCCTGGATTCTTTCTTGGATACACAGAATATAACAGGATACTAACATTTATAGGTAAAGTTGATCCAGGGAATATCCGATTGCCTCTCGGGGATCAGGAAGGGTTTTTTTTCCCTCAGGAGCAAATTGGATCATGCTTTGCTGGGTTTTTTGCCTTACCCTCTGGATCAACTGTGGGTGTAGGATTATATTTTTTTTTAATGGTTGAATTGGATGGACTTTTGTCTTTTTTTCAGCCAGACTAACTATGTAACTATGATGCTATATCTCCATGACAGTCTAAGTGGTTTGATGACCCAGGCTGTCATTGAATCCAGAAGACAGAGGACTGAGGACATCTTGTGGTGGAGAAACGTACTGTAGCCATCTAGGGTTTATATTTACTAGGTGTGGTTTCTCCTGATGTGTGCTGGGAAATGCAGATTTTGACAGCATCCATTTGTATCCAGACATCTGTAGATAGGCAGTAACCATTTATTTTTAATGATGAGGTGTAGGGGGGAGCAAAATTGGTAATGCACAGAGACCCCTTGGTGCTGATCACACGTTAGTCACCATCAGAAACTCAAGAAAGGATGTTTTTTTCCCTACTTACCCTATGGCTAAGTGCCGTATGATATGTCACATGATGCAAAGGTGCAAGTCGAGCCAAGGATATCCTACAATCTGTAGTGATCAATGCAATCAGCTCTACTGCCAGTGCAATTATGCCCGGGAGCTGCGCAGGTCAGTGGCATTGTCCTCTATGAATTTCGCATGTCACTGCCCCGTCCCCCAAACTCATGTAACATGTCACTGCCCCCTCCCCAAACTCATGTAACATGTCACAGATCCCTCCCCCAAACTCATGTAACATGTCACTGCCCCCTCCCCCAAACTCATGTAACATGTCACAGACCCTTCTCCCAAAACTCATGTAACATGTCACTGTTCCCTTCCCCAAACTCACGTAACATGTCACTGCCCCCTTCCCCCAAACTCACGTAACATGTCACTGCCCCCTCCCCCAAACTCATGTAACATGCCACTGTTCCCTTCCCCAAACTCACGTAACATGTCACAAACCCCTCCCCCAAACTCATGTAGCATGTCACGGACCCTTCCCCCAAACTCATGTAACATGTCACTGCCCCCCCCCCCCAAAACTCATGTAGCATGTCACAGCCTCCTCCCCCAAAACTCATGTAATATGTCACAGCCCCCTCCCCCAAATCTATTTAACATGTTTCAGCCCCCTCCTGCAAACCCATGTAACATGTCGCAT